TTGAAGGTACGCCCAAAGGCTTAGATTAAACTAGCAGTTCCGTTACCAACCACGCCACGACCAGCAACGTGCAGAGGTGGCATACAAATTCCTATCTGATGCTGCGTTCGAACCTGAATCCAAAACGTCCGACTAATAAATTTATTGATCCAGCCATCACGTCTACTTCGTCAAAACTGCCTCCTGGGACTCGTATACTCAGACTTTTACCGGTAAATAACCGAGCGATCAGCTAGTTAGGGGGCTGCGCGTAAAATAGACACTGACGTTGCTTACTACCAACCAAATCAGTTGACGCTCGCTACTGAAGACGGGTAAATTGATGAAACATGGTAACCGGAATGTAAATGGTCAATTGGAGGCAATCGGAACAGAATAAATCCTTCAATTTGTAGGCCAAAGTGCAAGGTTGAAGCCGTTCTTTCTCAGACAGAAAATGTTCGGGCTATTTTGTTCAAGTGGTGTTCAGTAAAAGCGGACATTTATTAATATCTGGAAGATTTTTTTGTAAGTACCGTCCTACTCTAATTGGAACGTGTTTATTGTAGTATGCAAAGGGCTTGAATTCCGAAAAAAACTGCGTTTAGGTAGACAGAACAAACATTGCATATGACAGCAGCGTCCGTTTTAAACGAAATCGTATCCTAATTGTAGAGGTCCACTTTCTTCAATGGGCTGGCACACAAAGCGTTATCCGCGAAGAATCAACCTTCGGGAGCACTAAATATATAACGGTTTCCATGAGTAAGGAGTACCACTGGTTGAGTCTCGAAGCCATTTATTTATTATTCTGCGCCTTTGAACCCGCGCAAGAGCTCCTCGTCTGAGAGAAGAGTAGCAACAAAACAGACAAACGTCATAGAAGTGTTTTCCAGTTAACGGTAGGTAACGCCAGCGTAGTGGCGACAACACAGGGCCCTATACGTCGGCGCCAAATCGATATATCGATCGACTGGGTTCTGAACCGAGGCGCGTGTTTTAATCAATTCTCGACATGTACTGTTCCCAGCATGGAGATTATATTTGTAACTGCAATATTCAACTCGTGTCCGTTTCGTAAGTGTGGGAAACCACCTGCGGTAATTTATCATCCCGTCGTGTATACGTGATCCAAGCATGCGTTCAGTTTGACCTGTATAATTACAAGGATAAGTTGAACACGAGATGCGATATGATACGCCTAAGTGCTCCCTCAGAGTAAATCGCTCCGTGATTTCCATAAACTTGCTGCTCGTGGTAGCTTTGGACCGGTGGGCAATTTCGACATCTAGCTATGCAGCAATGCGCTCAGTCACCTCCGAAATGATCTTTATACATTGCATAGCAAGCCATATCCTCGGCGGTATTGTCAATGGGGTTCCTCGGGGGCTAATACATAGACATCGGTTTATAAACGCCTTCGGATAGCCATTAAACATAAATTGATCGCAGAAGTATCGGGTCTAATGTGCTTTATCTTTTGGGATGCTGCAGTGACTCTGAACCCGTTTTAATAGTGTGCTCACACACAATTTAGTTTGTGAGCCACCAGATGATTACTGTGACAAGTGAGAAGCTGCGTGGTGTTCAGTGCCTTTCTTTAAACCGTCGCCTCTTGTTTGTCTTTTGGACTTCACCTGACGGGCAAATCAGGGAAGGGCAGCTGCTGCTTCTTCTCTTCCTCCCTCGTGAATTGCATATCCGGGAAGACTGATCGACAACTACACCCTATAACTATCACCTCTTTTGTTGCTGGCGATAAACGAGTTTGAAAGCTCAGACGAGTAAAAATGTGATTTTGGTGCTCGACTAGCCTTCGGTATTTCGCATACCAACAGTTAGGATTCTAACATTCGCCATCATTCATAACAGCTTCTACTTTGGACGACCAAAATGCAGAACGGAATCAGCAGGTTGCGTAACCCCCGTCGGTAAACGCCCATCTCACTGCAGTTAGTAGTCCTGAGATATCCTCGCGATTTTTTCGCAGCAAGTACGGACCCCCTTATTTGAGATGAAATAGGTGCACTTCACTCGAAGGATGGTTCTCACGCAGCGGGGGTCAAATACCTCAACCTTTGCTTATCTTCCACGAGCGAAGTCAAACATGCATAACCATAGAGGACCGACCGGACGGGTGCATGATTCACATGAATATTTGTGTCGATGGAGATGCCGCGTCAGATCCATAGGCATTCTCTAAGGATTGAGAAAACCCGGCTAGAAGAATATATTCGGGAGATAATGTCGTCCTTACTCTGTCCAGTCGGCAGCAAGCTCGTCCCGACACTGTTTACTTCTTCAAGTTAAGGAGCATTAATCCCCAGACATTCCTTCTCCTGGTCAGGGATGTAGCTCGGAAACCATTTGATTTTTCTAGCATTGATGAATAAGCCGACTGAAGTAGCGCTCTTATTTACTCGTGACACTACAGATTTATATCATAAATGCTTGAGTCTACTAAGGCAATAGCATCAGCGCAGTCTAGGTCAGTCAGTCGGCGTTTGGGTGCCAACTCCACACCGTAAAAACCATGAAAGGCTCCTCTCAGAATCCAGTCAATGGCGTAGTTGAACAGAGTAGGCGATAGGGCGGAACATTTTCGAACACCAGATCGGATATCGAATGGTTGAGAGATATGACAATAGACGAGGACTCGCGCAATGGTGAAGCGATAGAAGACCTTGATCGTGGCAATGATTTTGGCCGACACACCACCTAATTCCGTTATCGGCCAAAGGGACTTGCGATGGACGGAAACGAACACAGGGGCGAAATCAACAAAGTGAACGTTCGTCGGCTGCTAATAGACATGGGGGGGATTACAGAATGCGTCTCAGTGTGAATATCTGCTCCACGCACGCACGCCCGACTCGGGATCCGACGTGAGTTCGGTCCGTCCTAGAACCACGCACAGACTGGAATCGTCCGCTAAGAAAAATAGTGAAAACCTTCACAGCAATGTTATTGAGGCTTATGCCATCGTATTTCTCGCACTTTGTCTCATCACCCTTCTTGAAGACAGGCACAACAACGCCCATCGAGTCGGACTAGATTTCGGTATCCTGAGCGATTACTGAGCACTAGTTTAAGGGACTTTTCAGTCTAAAGTGGTCAGAACATTTGAGAGCTTGATGTTCATCAGTCACTGCGTACCGAAGGGTGCATTACTGAGATTACAAACGAACCACAATAAGTCTATAACGAAAAGTGGTTTTCAATAGCTTGAGGCTGTGTAACGAATATCTATTGAACGTGGCTGTGACAAGCGTACGGCGAAATGCGACAGTTTTTAAGTGGCAGTCTGCCTCGGCCACGTATAAATATGGAAATCTGTAAATATTTAAGGGTCACTGCGTAGGTTCCGAATAAACCACTTGATCTGGGTTTTGTGTGTGTGTGTGTGGGTGGGCGTGGTAGATGTGCTGGACTAACAAAGGTGCCAGATCAGGTCGCGGCAGGCCTTATTCGGGCTGCGCTCTCGCAGTTAATACGAACATTG